TGCATTGTGTAGTCGGGTTGAAGCTTACCAGTATTTCGGAAGTCCTTCCTGCCTCCATAATAATATTTCTATCTACAAAGTACATTTGTTTTAGAAACCTTCATTCATTATGAGACAACAGATTGCATGCCTACATAATGTGCTATGAAATGTGCAGGTGCAAACCTCCTTGTGGACAGCACAGGATATCATCTGCGTATTGGGGATTTTGGGACAGCAGCGCGTCTGGTGTCACAAACAACTGTACCTGGAGAATTCCAGGGTCAGTTGCTTGGAACAATTGCTTTCATGGCACCTGAAGTCCTGCGCGGTGAGGACTATGGGCGGTCATGCGATGTCTGGAGTGTGGGGTGTTGCATGATCGAGATGGCCTCCACAAAACCACCGTGGAAAGAAAACTGTATGTCCAATCACTTGGCACTCATGTACAAGGCAAGTCATGTCCAAAAAATTTATATCATAACATTCTTTGTCATTAGTATAAATGATTAACTGTAAAATATTTGAAACCTATGAATCATCAAATTTCTAGCATTGTATAATTTTAGACTGCTGTTTCCAAATATTGACTGATACTGACATTTATATAAAATTTTCTTAAACATTGTAAATTTGGTCAGGTTACATGAATGAATTTCTAAAATTAAGAGTGGGAGAGAAACAATTCTGGTTGGCATTCAAGAGATACTGGTTTGAAACGTTGTTATTCTGACTGAATTTTTATGATTTTCATTCCTTCTCGAAAGCATATGTTGGAATTTTGTCTAAAAATGTGGCCGGATGACTTCTTTGGCAGCCTTTTGTAATCACTATACAGTATATCAGTTGATGGTTGATAAATTACACTGTTTATATTAGAATATAGAGTGACTGATTTAACAAACAAGTATCCTTGTTACCTAAACTTTGACAGTATATAGGGGTAACTAGTGGCTTATATGTTATTTTTCCTGATCCAATTTGTTTTGATGTTTTACAGATTGCATCTAGTAAAGACCCACCCTCAATCCCTGACACATTAAGCTGGGCATTGAAGGATCTGGCATTGCAGTGCCTGCTTATCAACTCGGAACTGCGGCCAACTGCAAAGGAACTGCTGCATCATGCATGCTTCAGAGAGTGGCAGACATGATGGCAGTGGTCTGGTAATGCCATTATTTGATGGATAAAGATCCATCTTAGCACCACTTTGTGCTTTGTGCTTTGTGCTGGGAGAATTATGGGGAAGAAAATGAAAATGTAACCTGTCATAAATTTGAATGCATCCATCTTGATAGGTTAACAGCTGACAAGGTGATGTTTTTATGTTTTCTTGTCAAAGATTCTATCTGTAATTGACCAGTGTTGCACCTTATTAGAAAGTTTTGGAACCACCATTATAGATGAAGGAAACGAGGAGATATCGGTGGTTGTCCTAACTGGTAATATATGGTAAGTATCACTTCTCTTACTGTTAATGTGTGTTGATAAAAAACACATTATGATTTCAGAAATCACTGCATTTACACTATAATTTTCCTGTCTCACATGAAACATCATATTCCATTAGCACTGATAATCACACTTAAAAATGCCCAAGGGCATCTGGGCTGCATTGCCAACTACATGTAATTAAAATGGGTCATGATAAACGTTTTGGTTTATGCTGTTTAAGGCATGAACCCTAAAGATTGACTGGTTTATAGTATTTTTTAAGTCTTCAGTAGGAAGAAGTAATCTCTAGAATATTTTTTAGAAAATATGTTTCTTGGTTAATAAACAGAGAAAAAGCATTTATGTTATATTGCAATATTTTAATGTTAATTTATTTTATTTATTCAATAGTTATTATTCTGTTGACATTATTACCATGGGAAAAGGAAAGTACAGAGCAACATTTGTAGTTAATTGCTATACAAACATACATACTGAAGGAATTATTCTAAGTAAGTGATAAAAGAATAGCTATAAAATGATAAGAATGATTTTACGAAGAACCAATAGGAAAACAAGATTTAAAAAGCATGTATCTACACTTGGAATATCTGTAGAACATCTGTAGTAATGTGAAATTGAGACTAAGATTAAATGTTTTAAGATTTATACATGACATAAAATCATGTTGGAAAATGATTTTATTTTTAAACCATTTATTTCTTTCAAAATTTATCTGTATAGGTTCGGTATTATGAATCTGTAAGGTTCATACTTTAAATTAAAAATAGAATGATTACATTATCTTTTGGAGATTAAAAGGGAAGTATCAGAAATGTCTCTTAGTATTGGCTGGAAATTGTAGTATTTACTGTAAATGTAGTCTGTATAAGAAGTGTAAACAGCCAAATGCCACTTTCTGACAAAAGCATTTTATACTTGTGCATTTGGCATTAATATTTGTGTTTTAATTTGTGATGTCAACTGAATATGATGCTGTGAGGTTTCCAAAAAGAGAAACTTCCATTTGCATTCCATTGTCTGTGAAGATTAATACACTTGCAAAGTTAAGTCATAGATTTGTTTGGATAGTAGGGAAAAAACAAAAGATTTTGAATAGGGATTTTTTTCTCAGATGTTTATAGTGCTGAAATGTTTGTGAGTGAAGCATTTGTAACTTTGGAAGAGACTTCCTACCATCTCTTGATGATTATAGGGTGAGTGCATCTAGCAGTTCTCTAGTGCCACTATACTTAAACATTTGTTTAGAGTAAAGACAGTCTTACCGATCATTTGTTTGGTGTAAAGACAGTCTTACCGATCAGTGCATGGTATATGGTGTTTTAGACATAATGGTAACAGATAGTACTGCAGAAAACAGATATGATTTCCAGCTTGACATCCACTCCTCTGTATCATTGCTGTCATCTTCATACTTCCTACCATGAGAACCTGAAATCTCACATTTGCAGGCAAGTTTGTCATAGGACGAATGTTGGATGGTTCTGTTTAATTATGTGTTCACAGCTGCATGGGTTATATAGTAGTATGATTATTATGAATGTTCAATTGCAAGGTGGAAACAAAGGCATTGCAGCTTTTTTAAGGTAATATCCACTCTGCAACACAGATGTGTATATTTATGTGGGTATACACATGTTCATGCATGCATTGTCATGTACAATTACATATCATGATGTGGGCTACGGGTATAGACCTTTGGTTTTAATAAACCAATTCATTCCCATAGAGACTTGGTATCTATACAAAAAAATGGTATGAAATTTATGTTTTATGTGCAATTATGTTTCATAGATGATATGCCTTGATTTATTAAAATCAATCAAAATGGTCTTATTGTTGCTTATGGGTGAGTGTCCACAGTATTACATGAATCAGTGATAGAGAAAATAATACTTACAGAGGAATGTAGATGTACAAGTAAATGAAATATTTTGTATAATTATATGTAAAATCTTTTGTTATATTGTAGTAGTTAGCACTCCTGCTTTATATTCAGGTCATCCCAGGATTAGATATCAGCCTGTGGACCAATTATCTTGACTGAGGTCCTCCCCACAGTCTATCAGGGCAAATGTTTGAATATGATTTTGAAACAGTTATTCCATTTTCATTTTTGTCATTATGGTCATACTTATCATCTGATACTATGTAACCTGTCCAGTTCAAGTTCAAGAAATTTTATGGATGGTGGTTATGGTCTTGTGGGCTGTGATGTTATGTAGTCTTCTAGGTGGTTCTCCACTGTCAGAGGAATGTATCACCTCCATGAATCTGGAGCTGATAAGTTTGTCTTTAATGTTTGTAACTACCTGCAAGATTATGTGGCATCAAAACTCAGATGACCACAGTTGACATCAACCACCATGAAAACATCAAATTTTATTAGAAATCAAGTGGAATGCAACTGAGCTATTGTTATGTGTGTCTGAATCCTGCAGTATATTTTTGATATCATGAGAGGCAATTTTTATTGTTTTATTTTATGAAAGTAGGAGAGAGGAATATCAATATTGAAGCATTTTTACACTAACCATTTTCCACCATGCATCACTTCTTTTACATGGTCCATGTGACCATGCATCACACTAGCATGCCACTAAACTGTTAACCCCAGAGTTAATGTCTGGTCAGTAGCTCCATAGTATGGGGATTTAAATTCCTTATTTCCATATAACAAAGGTTCAGATCTTTTTCCGATCTGATATGTACATTCCTCTTTCCTGTATTATACATTAGCTTAAATATGTATTGATTAAGATACTTGATTTTATGTTAAGGATGTGCAAACAGTTTGAATTTTGAATAGTACGTAGATGTATGAGTTCAGTTCAGCTTGAATTTAAAAGGAAATTGCCAATTTTCATTGTCAGTCTCTGTGCCTGGAAATATTGGATGTTATACTTTTCCATATTTAATGAATAAAAGTGACAAAATGTGCAAGTTGGATGCTGCATTTAGGATAAAGTGTGAGGCACAAAATTTGGGTGTTTGCATGCCCTGTTTTATATTTTTACGTTTGTTCCAGAATGCTGGACGGATCTTCAAATAATATGTTTTCCTTCAGTTGAGAGAAACCAAAAGACTGGAATGCATCTCTCAAATTAACAACACACTTTTATTACATTTTAATGTTACCTCTGTGTGTTGAAATTTCATTTTCTGTGGGACTGTATCAGTAGCAATATTCAGAATGAAAATTCTTTTGCTTTTATTCTGTCACTTATTCATTAAAGGTGCATAACTTTGTCTGGAGTTCTTGAACGTGGACTAACCATGTGCATGGTATGTGATTTTTATCACTGTACCCAATGTTGATAACAATTTTGTGCCTCTTATTTTTGTATCTGACTGTAACACTCTTGGTTTTGTTGGTGTATCTAAAACAACCTGTTGTTTTGTGATAGCAATGAAGGATTATTTGACAAGACATCTATGGTCCATCAGACATGTTGCAGGGTAATTTATTTTGCTGTTTCACCAGAAAGTACAAGATAACTTTTATGTTGTTACCAGTAAGATAACTTTGTGTTCTGGACATGCTGTCTTTCATATTCATGCTATGATTACTTCAAGCAAAATAATCATGTGTGGTTACAATTTTGAAAACCGTTTTTTATAATAAAGCAAAATCTTGGGGCTTTGCAAATAACATATTAAGAAAACTAATTTTCATTTTGAATATTGTTGGGTCTTAATACAATATTTCTGCGAATTAAAAGTACTTAACATAATAATAAGTGCATTCCAAATTGGGATGTTGGAATATAGAAATGGCTGAGAACTTGAATGTCTTTCTAGTAAGGAAACTTAACAGGATGATCATTTCATTATACATATAGACATTGGTTCTTTTCACCTTTGTGTGTAGGAAACAGGTTTGGGTTGTTACACAAAATACATTCCTCACTTGTTATCGCTTATAGTTGTCACCATTCATTGTACCTGACAAAGCCAAGGATGGAGAATTTCTTCCGGACTGGGAATATTTCCATTATAAATTGCATGACAGTCATGCTAAGTATAACATAAGGGACCATTGAGTCTAATTATTGTACACAGTTGAAAGCCAGAGGCTATACTGATAACTTGTAGACTGTTTGTATTTGTATTCTTTATGATAGTTGTGTTTTATAATACAATATATGTTTATAAAATAGGAATAAAATACATAATATATGATGAATTATATCTTGGGTAAAGCCCAGAGTATGTGACAAGTCCTGTTACCTACCCAGCACTGAATTCCTTAATCGGTTGTACCATCCCAGCATCATTTGCCTTATTCAAAATTTTGTGTGGTACAGCATTCTGGGCTCTGTGTGTAGTCCAGGAATGCAGGAGCTTATCTTACAAATGTGCAGTTGTGGAACATAGTACTATCTGTCAGTTCTAAAGGATTCTAAATCAGTAATTCAGGTAGTGGTGCCTGTTTTGTTTTTCAGCTGATTACATCTCATAACTTGTACATCTGTTTCAAACCATGATTCCTCATAAATGGTGCCATGTTCCTAAAGAAAGCTGCATCAGAGGTTGAAACTGAAAAGTAAGAGGCCATGAAGCTCATCATTATGCAGTTTTCCCTATGATTCGTCTCCCTCCCTTTAAGATCCAAATGTCTTCCTTAACACTTCTCAAAGACCCTCAATCCATGTTTCTTCCTCAAGAGTTGGAGACCAAGTTTCACATGCACACAGCCCAGCTGGCAAAAGTACACTTTGTATATTTTAATTGTTTGCTTTATGAGATGGGAGGACAAAAGATTTTGGACTGAAAGATAGCAAGCATTCCCTGAATTAATCTGCTCTTGATTTCATCATGACTGATAGTGTCATCCCCAAGTACTTGAATTTTGTCATAATTTCAAACGATTCATTAGCTATCCTTAAATTGTTCCTGCCTGAATTCTGATGCCAAGACATGATCATATACTTTGTCTTTTCTACATTTATTTCTAGACCAATATCCCTGCTAGCCCTTAAGAATGTTTCTGTATTCATTTTAATAGTATTTATATTATCGCCCAACAGATTATCATCAGCATAGACCTAAAGCTGATGTGTCCAAATTAATTCCAAACCGCCCTGATTATCTTGGCCTTTCCTGATGGTATACTCTAAGGTAGAATTGAATAGCATCGGCAATAAAGCATCTCCCAGACTCACGCCATTCTAAATAGGAAGTTAGCCTATTTTTATGCAGGAAAGTGCAAAATTTTTGCAACATCGGCGCATAATGCGCTCAAGTAGCCATGGACTTTTGGTTACTTCTAGTAATCATTGGTTTTCTGCTGGGATTTTTATCGGTCAACGATGCATTGTGCAGTTATACTGTATAGTAGTGAATCTGTGTGATGTGTCGTTTAAATTGCTGAGATTCTTCAGTTGGATCTGTGTTTAGCAGTACTCTGATATTAATTACGGAAGAAATTATGAGCATTCGTTAATGATGGCGGAGAAACTTCAGCAGACTTCACAGCAGCCCATTGTGAAGATAGGACACTACACTTTGGGGCAAACTTTGGGTGTGGGGACATTTGGAAAAGTAAAGAGTAAGTACAAACGTGCCCCTTGTTCATTATTTGTAATTGTATGTTGCAAACATGACACCCGTCAGATGTGTTTGTATTGGTGAATCGAAATACTCCGACCAAATTATGTGTTCGTATGTAATTTGGTTATCTGGAAGACAGTTCGTGTTGAAGAATTGGACGAAACTTTCCCAGGATATAAACAAAATCACGGGATAGAAATGGGTGGAGCTTTATTAGTTTAGCCTTGTCAGGTTGGAAAGTAACTACTGTATCTCATTTTACCTGACTTTAGTATATGAGGTTAGATTTTGACACATAATTGTTAGAAACATGTTTTATTGAGTGTGTTTCTTCAAACAAGTTATATCTTTATGTTTCTCAGTCAGGACAGGATGCTTATAATGTGTGTAATGGAATTGACTGCAGTTTAACCCATTAGTAATTCTTTCATTGATGTAGTTTTTCTGACTATTAGCATAAATAGTGTTCAGTGCACATTGGGGAATATGGAGAGGATGATCACCCTGATGATGGAGGGAGCAAGTACCTCTGAGATATTGGTGAACTTGTACCAGTCTGAGCAGCACAGCATTTGTTTGTTTTTGCAGTTGGTGAACATCAACTTACAAAGCACAAAGTGGCTGTAAAGATTCTGAATAGGCAAAAAATCAAGAGCCTCGATGTTGTTGGAAAAATTCGTCGAGAGATCCAAAATCTGAAACTTTTTCGGCATCCACACATAATAAAACTGTGAGTTTCTTACCCAGATTAGTTGAATATAATGAAACCTTTTTTATTATGTGTTCCTACATTTAATGTTGCAGGGTTGTGTAAGTTGTCTTGTCTGAACTGGGATCAGGGGACAACAGTTATTAATGTTCAACTTACATGCTAGTACAAGTGGTAGCTGTGTCCTTCATCCTTATCAGTTTCTTACCCCTACAGTTGCAAGCTATACCATTCTGTGTGATACTGATTTATTTGTGTTATTGTGCAGATACCAGGTGATCAGTACCCCGACTGACATATTTATGATCATGGAATATGTGTCTGGAGGAGAGTTGTTTGACTACATTGTTAAACATGGGAAGGTAATTATCAAATTTTTTTTCACAATAGGATGTTATTTATCTGAGTAGAATACAGTGTAATAGTAACTATAGAAAGAAAATGATATAGCCTTGCCTTCAGGTGGGGGAATGCTCAGGTATGCAGTACCAACATCTTTTTTCCTTTTAGAAAGCTTATTACTTATCCCATATTCTTACTATTTTAACTCTGTAATTGTGAATTACTATTGATTTTCAGTAATTTTCTTAATTTAAACATCATCATGCAAGTGTTGGGAGTTGTTGATCTTGTCTTAAAGTGAAATTCCTTGTGTAATAAGTAAAATGGAGACCTGAAGTCTAAATACTGCACTGCATTCCAACACTAGGCTGTCAATAAAATTGTTTAGTAGTTGGAATCAATACATCAGAGCTGTACAATATCCATCTTGGAGCTAGCTGTTTAGTTTGAAGGTCTATTTTGAAGCTCCGTCTCTGTGACAGCAGGGTAAGTTGATGGGTAAAGTACATATTTTGTCTACATTAAAATTGCCAGGCTTAACCTCAAAGTAATGTCACCTATATTCCTTGAAAGAACCCTTATGTACAACAGATTGTGAGATAATATTGTTTTTGTTTGTTTTGAAGAGTAAGACACAATATGTGAAAGGTTTTACTTTGATTTCAGTTAAAGGAGCATGAAGCACGTAGGTTTTTCCAGCAGATTATTTCTGGTGTAGATTATTGTCATCGGCACATGATTGTACATCGCGACCTGAAGCCAGAAAATTTGCTTCTTGACCACAATCTGCATGTGAAGATAGCAGATTTTGGTATGTGTGATATGAAACATGTAATTTGTAATATTGAGGCTATTTTCATCCCTTAGATGCACATATCTTTTTGTTCCAGAATTTCATTAATGTGTGATGCATAGCTCTATATTTACTAACAATATCCTAGTCTAAATTTTGAGAAACTATTTTATCTTCTGGGTTGTAGCACCATGCAGTCTGGTAGAAGTTTGCAAGAATTTCAGAGGTCCTTGCTGCTTCAATCACTGCCCTGATGATGGAGGCAGCAAGGACCTCTGAACTTCTACCTGACTACACAGCACTACAGCCCAAAAGACAGCTACATTTGAAATTTATATTATTTTTGCTCTGCATTGTTTTTCTGTCCTTAATTTGTTACAGTTACAGTTAATCATCAGCTTTAAACATAAGCAGATGTTAATGTTTGCACTGTTTCTTTCCAGTCACAGTCTTATACCTAAGTAGAAGTTATGTTGGACTTTTCCAGGTTTGTCCAACATGATGATGGATGGTGAGTTTCTTCGTACAAGCTGTGGGTCTCCAAATTATGCTGCCCCAGAAGTGATTTCAGGCAAGCTGTATGCAGGCCCCGAAGTTGATATATGGTCATGTGGAGTGATCCTCTATGCCTTACTTTGTGGTACTTTACCATTTGATGATGAAC